AAAAGTTTAAAGCTTCAGAATTTTGAAATGTTTATGCCATCAGATCCAGAGAGGAATTATAAAATTGGCTCTACTGTACAAGAATGAGAAACTGCAAGACGTCAGCAGGATACAAACTTGAATGTTTGAAATGGTGTATAATACCACTGGATTTGAGTCTCTTTACTGGAAAATTTGGGAAACCAGTTGAAACTTTGTTTTAAAAACCAAAAGAACTGAGGATGCTGCAAATCAGGAACAGACAGAAGTTGCTGGAAAAGCTCAGCAGGTCTGACAGCATCTGTGAAGAAAAAATCAGAGTTAATGTTTCAGGTCTGGTGACCCTTCCTCCTCCTTTTTGAAGTAGGGAGGGGGATGGGGTAGGGAGTAAATGATAGGATAAAGCCCGAAAAGAGAGAAGAGCAAAAACAAAGTTGCTGGCAAAGCTCAGCAGGTCTGGCAGCATCTGTGAAGAAAAAATCAGAGTTAATGTTTCAGGTCTGGTGACCCTTCCTCAGAACTAAGGGTCATCGGACCTGAAACTTGCCCTGTAACTGGATTGTGAATGTCCTTTAGGGAAGCAAATCTGCTGGTTTTACCTAGTCTGGCCTGTGAGTGACTCCAGACCTACAGCAACTGGCATTTACCAGCCCTCTGTACAATTAGGGATGGACAAAATTTCTGGTCTTGCCAGCAATGCCCACATTTCACATGAACTACATTTTTCAAAATTGGCTCAACCAATCTATGCTCAATGCTCCTCCAACCTTTCCTGACCTAAATTTATCATTGTCACCCTCTATTACCTTTGCCCCAAATGTTTGACTAGATTCTATTAAAATGCAGCTACACTATTCGTTTCAACAATCCCTGTGATGATAGTGAGTTCCACATTATCACTATTCTCTGGGAAAATGTAAAGAATAGGAGCAGGAGAATGCCATTCAGTCCCTCGAGTCATTCAATATGCTCATGGCTAATCATTCAACTCTGTGTCCTATTCCTAATAAAAACCGAAAGAACTGCAGATGCTGTAAATCAGGAACAAAGACAAAGTTTCTGGAATATCTCAGCAGGTCTGGCAGCATCTGTGAAGGAAAAAACAGAGTTAACGTTTCGGGTCCGGCGACCCTCCCTCCGCAGTATTCTTCGGAGGAAGGGTCGCTGGACCTGAAACGTTAACTCTGTTTTCTCCTTCACAGATGCTGCCAGACCTGCTGAGGTTTTCCAGCAACTTTGTCTTTGTTCCTGTATCCCATTCCTGCTTTCTCCCCACACTCTTTGATCCCTCTATACCTAAGAACTAAGAGCGTTATCTAAATTCATTCTGAACTTCCAGTGAGGTTTTGAAGACCATTTCATATGGATGGACTGTAGTTATGCTCAGAAGAGGAAACAGAAACATGTTCTCTGTATCCATTCTATCAAAATATTAACATTGAAGAGCATCACTGCCTATCCTAATTAGTTTCCTCAATGCTTTTCAGCATAGGACAGCAATCGGGAGTCAGTACATTATTTGATATTCCCCATCCAAGGATGATGGAGCCAACTGGAATATCCCAGCAGTTGCTGTGGCTGAGATCACTTAACTCGACATGATTAAGAATTTAATCCGAACCGTTCTAATCCTCCTGGTTCAGCTGCACATGGGTCTAATCGGCTGAGCTCTATATTCCTCATTTTATTGTGTCCTGTTTATTGTAAGCTCTTTCCTGATTTCCAATATGTTGTCATCTTGGGCTGTTCAATTTTAAATTATATTCCTACCTGTTACTATTTTATGCATAACGATGAACAGATTACAGCACCTTTCAAAAACAATTCTTTGAAACTTTACACAAGGTGAAAGGTGACTGCCTTTCTCAGTTTATCAGAATCGCTCTATTGTGACATTGATGAAAGATGTGGATGGCAAATGGAAACTGGCAACAGGAATCTACATTGGTATTTCCTTTACTCAGTTCAGGGTCATTCTCAGATTATGAGGTTAGACAGGTCATGGCCTCCTTAGCTCTCAAGTGTGCAAATATTTAATTCTGTCAATTTGCTGAAATATGAATTAATCAGTGACAGGCGACTAAAGTTAAGTTCTTTATTTGGCTATCCTGTTATGTTTATTTGAGATTAATCAGTGCATTTGAAGCTATGCTTGCTCCAATATTGGCTTAATTAAAAAAACAATGTATTATGTTTAGTTTTAAATGTTTTATTTGCAGGTCCTCATTAGAGATGATTTGTAGACTTCAGTCTAACCAGAAGAGAAGATAACTACATGAGCAATAAGAAACAAAGAGATTTTCTGGTTAAGGCAACTTTAACTGCCAACACAGTTTGTTCCTGTCCCTTTCAAATATCACTTACTGAATCTCACAGAATTTTCAGCAAAAATGTTTCTGTTTACTGTGCCTGTGCTAATGCTAACTCAACAGGAATGATTTTTTTAGTCAATTTGGAAGGTTAATGTGGAAGGAGGGCATAAAGCACGGGACAAAATGGCTGCAAGAGCCAAGCCATGCTTCAGGCTACCCGCCTGCCATCTGTTATGGGACGGGGGGGAGGATAGTGGGAATGTGCAGCTCCAAAGTGAGTCAATTATTTTGTTATTTTTGTCTTGTGCCTGCAGTCACAATCTCTCTTATTCACAATATCATGCTGGGATCACAATGGGGCTATCAGAATTAATATCTCCTCAGAAAACCACAAGGTAACTGTAATCTCACTAGACAAATAAAGAACCCAAAATATTCACTTCATAGAGCAAGTGATGTGTAGAAGAATTTTACTCATCAATTTTTAAGTTTTTTTCCTGGATATACTGGACAGAACTCTATCCATTTTAAGTAATTTCTAACCAGATGTGGTACCATATATCTCTGGAGCAGGTAGGTCTTGAATCCAGACCTCCTGGCTCAGAGGTTGAAACACTACCACAGCCCAACAAGAGCCCTCGTTTGTTTTATGTTTGTGGGTGTCTGAAGATGCTGTTACCAACTCCTGGTTTCAGCTTCAGTTCATGCCTCCTTGCAGTGATAGGAGCAGTCCAGCCTTGTCTGTGGTGTTCCTGGGAGTGGGATGTTGGGAGTGGGGGAGGCTGATGGAATGGTTCCTGCTGTTGATTTATGTCCAAGAAGCCTGGCTGGAAGTGGGTGGACCGAGGGTTAGGATAGCTCTCTGCCTCGACTGCAATGTCACTCATAGACCAAATATTCCAATGAACATATGGCAGAGTTTGGGATGGCACCCATATCCCAAAGGACCAAAATAAGTGTGAGCCAGTCCCCTTACTGGGTGGGGTGGTGGGGGCGGGGTTGTTGGTTGCTGCAACCAGTTACATGTATATTTGTATCTACCAATTGTTTCCCCCAATTGTTCCACACATGTATGTTTGTATGTGTTTAGAATCAATGGGAAGGGCAGGAGACTGGGTTACTGAGTGACTGAGCCCTATGCTTTACTCTAGCTCCGATTTGTGTCTGAGGGGCAAAGGTGGGGAGACAGAAAGCTTCATTGCGGCCTTTGATTGATGATGCTGTGTCTTTGGCAGGTCACATTTTCACCCGCAAAAGGGGGCCACGTCTTTCTGCGGGGAAGTGGAACGCAGTCATCAAGTGGCTATTGTCCTGAAGCATTCAGGAAGTTGTTAAGGGAATTGCTACCTTTGTTACTGCTAATTTAACGAAACGCCGCTTCGCACAGGAAAGGGAAGCGGCAGCTCTGGAGTTACAGGGGGGAAATAAACATACTGCCTTAGATACCCAGGGGAGTGCCCTGGCGACTCCTTATCAATATTATAAATTAACAAAGAATCACTGACCGAAAAGAATGCTTGGAGTCACGCTTGAAATGGAGACTGAAATTAGACTGATTCTCATTCCTTGGGCAGGGGGAAGATATGAAAATGTTTAGCTCGGATCCAAGACGCCACTGCATTGGCTGACATTGTCCGCAATTCAAGCCTTCAGGCATCACTATTAATTCCAAACAATTACTTATATATTTTATTGCTTAAGATTAAATTTATTTTTATATCTTGAAGTCTGGAGCTAGTTAACTACACCGCTTAGGCCATAATTACACTCCTATCATTGCGCAGATGTTGCTTATAATAAATACAAGGTCTGTGACTCTCAATCAATAGTCTAAGGCAAAAGAAACTTAAACTTGATGTTTTGCTGTGTGTGAACTGCAACACAACAACCATCTGTGTGTGTCACTCTGGTCCCTGGCGATGTTAGAGTGCTTTTGTCACTGCTTCTATATTCAGGTTGGCGCGAGAGATTCCTTCCAAAGTCTTAAACCAGTTTGTGTGTGTGTGTGTGAGAGAGATAGAGAGAGAGGGACAGAGGGAGAGGCAAAAATGGAGAATGTGTGAGAGACAGAGTGGATGAGTCAGACAGAGAGAGAGGGTGAATGAGCATGTGAGCGAGAGTAGATGACTGAGTGGGTATGTGTGCAAGGGAGAGGGTGAGTGAGAGAGTGGATGAGAGAGAAAGTGGATGAATGAGAAAGTGAGAGCGTGTGTGAGGGAGTGAATGAGTGAGTGTGGTTGAGAGAGTGTATGAGTGAGAGAAAGAACGGACGAGTGTCAATGAGTGTGGTTGTGAGTAGTTGGACCACTTTGTGGCACTAAGTAAAATACTATTCTGCTTTTTTCTATCTTTTAGAAACTAAATCAGAGCTCAGTGTGTCCGGCGGTTTGTATTATCCAATAATATCTAAAATCACCCCTATAAACGGCTCATTCGTTACAAATTTACACCTATTATAATAAACGTAATTACAATGAACATTACAATTAACATAGTTACAATTAGCACAATTTGTATGTGAAAGACGGCGTAGATAATCTCTGCAGTGAGATGGCACAGAGATTCTAATTTCAATACATTAACGATGGCTAAAAGGAAGCGTTCAAATGTTTTATCTTTTAGCAGAAGACAATTATTCCTTGACTAGACACGGATGTCAATGTTCCTTCTTTATTTTTTATCAAATACATCGTTTTGAGAGCCGGGGAGGTGGAAAGCTCCTAACAGCGCACTCCACGTTCCTGAGAATGTGGAAGTTTGGAAGTTCTTTTGGCTCCGGGCCACACCTCTCTCTGTGTGTTACTCAGCTTCCTATTCGAAAGATTGGTGTGAAAGAGGGAAAAAAAAACCGAGACATGAGTACTGCACTCAGCCACTATTGGGAGGTGGGATTGCCCGAGGTGGGGTGGGGAGCTGCCCTATAAAGGAGGATGCTGGAGAAAGTGTTGCTCAGGTTTGGGGTTTAGGAGCTGCTGGCTTTGCCTGGGATGATCATGGGGTTCCTCCATCCCTGTCTGATAGCCGCCTGTATCTGTGCCCTGGTCCGGGGCTGCCTCAGCCGGCCCGAAGGCTGGGGAACTCTGAAAAACGATGCGACCGAAATCATTCCCGAGTACCCGGAGATTCGCACCGAGGTGAGGAATCACAGCGTGAACCAAGCGAAACACGGAGGCAGACGGCGGAGCCAGTCCCTGCAAGTGAGGGGTAAGGTTGCAAACATTCTTAACCTCGTGCAGAATGACATGGAAATAAGAACCGATAGAGATGGTGAAAGAGATATCCCGAGATAGTGAATGTGACAACATTTAAATGCATGTTGGTGCATTAGATAAGAAAAAGTTCCCTTTCTATAAAACAAAGTCCCCCTTCCCATACACTGCAGTTATTCCCCACACACCATCTCCAACATGCCTCTGCTTATTCCGTCCCTCTGTCCATTCTCCCTATTCGTTTGCAGGTTGTGTATCTGCTTCGTTTGCAAATTTTCTCTTTATATATTCTTGAAGAATTTCGCGCCTGTAGAGCTCTACCTGGTTACATATTGTAAAACAAAAGTGCACAGATTCTGTTTCATGCGGTTTGTCTGCACACCCTTATTGAATTCAATTGTATGCTGTTTGTTACATGCCCTTTTGGTTCGCTCAAGTTTTATTGATTTGTTTAGGTGCCTGCTGCTGTCCAAACCATCATATCCTGCTTCCTTTTCCTCAATAGTTGGAGCAAGTCTTTTAGAAATCGCTGTATGATATGCGTCATGTACAGCTACACACAAAGCAATAGGCACATTACAGCAAAGTTTCAAAAGTGGAACATAGGGACAGTCAGTGCTACAGTAACATGCACTCAGCAGGCTCCCATTCTTGCCACTGAAGTAAAACAACCTTAGGGGCGGGGGAAGGGGCGGTGAAAAAGAAACCGCGGATAAACTTTTTAAAACTTTTCAATGGAATCGAGAGGCGGCATGTTCCTGCAGGGGAGAAGGTTAATATCGAAGTTGCCAATTGAAAATTGGAGCTTGAAAATTGACAGCAGTTATAGCAGCGCTCTGAAAAATCGCATCCGTTTATTTTTGGTCTGGAATCACCTGAATTTGACAGTGTGGAGCTGAGCTTTTAAAGGCACAGTCCAAGATACCAAGACTAATTCATGTCAGCTAAAGCGCACAGACGTCAGATCGAGATTACTTGTGAGCAACGCCACAGGAACGCCTCCAAAATGCCATAACACCCATGCATCTTCCTGTGTGTCACAGACTGGTTTATTTTGTTCATGACGATTCACAATATTTTGTTTTATATTTTCAGAGGAATACCCTACAGTGCAGATTAACTTTGCTGAATTTGGATGTGTATGGCTCTACATGAGTTTTCTGATTTTTAATCACATGATTGGGATGGTTCTAAAAAGTAGATGTATGGTATGGAGGTCACCACAATTTTGATTTGAGCAGCAGTTCACTCAACAGTGAAAATTCTAGCAGCTGAAGAGGGACTCAGAAACCAATTTGCATGAAAGCAAACAAAATGCAATGGTATTTCCAAATTATCAAATAATTGCAGATCAACACAGCTTTTATGTTGCAGGTAGTTTGTTAATTGAATAGTCAGTTTTCTACAGAGCCCCTAGCACTAGTGGAAATTTTCTCCCATGATTAACTGGTTCAATACAGATCTACAGTATACATTCATTCTATAGGCCAGGCTCGCTATAACACTTACACATCATGTCATAATTTCAAATCATCTCAAGATGCTTGGTGCACAAATAGCTTGAAGTAGACTGATTCTTAATGTGCAGGTGAAATGTGAGAAGACTTGGGTTATATGCAATGTCCACCTTGAAATTGATGCCTTTGATCAAGTAAGCAAATAATGTCAGTCAGTGAGTAAGATGAAGAAATGTATCCAAACATTTAATCTCTACTCATATATAAAAATGATGTAATTATGTGGGTGGCTAGTGGGACTGTACGTATGTGGAATTTGACAGGAAAAACTGTACACAAACTTGTATCTGCTGACTCAGTTGACTCCTTGCTTTTCAGAAGTAATTTCCACAGTGTGTAGAGAGAGAGTATTTTCATTTGCTTTTCAAGGAAAATTAAAAGACATTTCTTTTTCAAGCTCAGATCTTTGCACAGGTCCTTGGCAATTGATAGCCAAGATATTTATTTTGGTAGTCTGTGGACCGTCAGCTCATATGAATTTCCCTTGATTGCCTAATTGTGAGGTGATTAGCAATGCAGTACTAATGTCACATCAAGCAATTAACTAGGAAATGGTGATATGTTCATTGCTAAGGACTGTAGATAAACCAACTAACTGCTTCCTTAGCATTTTAAATTATAACATAGAAGAACTTCAGGTAATAAGAGATTAGGTATTGGCTTTCATGTATTAAATTCAAAGCTGTACTGGCCATACTGGAAGGATTTTCTTTTGATTCAGATCTTTTCTCTTGTAGGATGACTGAAGTTGTAACTGACTCTCTGACATTTCATCACTGAGTCCTACTGACTGTCTTTGTAGTGATAGTGCCAGCCAACTCACGCACGTAGTGACAGTGTCGTATAGACTTGAGACATCAATTAAAATCAACCCTTCATATCTTAGTCAGTTCGTCCAATGAAATCAGGATCTTTGGTCTGTGCCGAGTTAGGGCAATAATGCACTGGCTCAGTACGCCAGACTTAGGGAAGAGAAAATTCTCTATAATTCCCTTCCTAGATGCCATCTAATCATCCAGAAAAGATGCATGTTTGAATGCAGCCAGGTTCAGGGCTGGTAAAACTTTTCTTCCTTGTATCAATGAGTTAGCCCACATTTTGTCAGTTCACAAACAAGGAATGGACACTTGGAAGAGGGACATCAGGAGCGAGAAACAGAGTTAACAAAACATTAGCATTGTTCTCTGTCTCTCTCCTCAGATATTGGCAGACCTTCCCTGCCGAGTATTTGTAGCATTTTTTGCTTTTATTTTGGATTTCTGGTATCAACAATATTCAAAAGCAGATTCAAAAATGTTTAGCTTTATTTTGTGCCAATCAGTCAATTTCAGGTTTATCGTTAATTATTTGATTGTATTTCTGTGTTATGTATGCACCTGATTTTCAATGGCAGTGCAGTTATATTAATCAATCTGCCATATCTCTTCCTATTGTAGGAGCAACAGAATTCAGTTGCCGGGAGCTTCGATCCACCAGGTATATATCAGATGGAACATGTCGCAGTGTGAAACCAGTGAGGGAGCTAATTTGCTCTGGTCAGTGTTTGCCAGCCCATCTCCTGCCCAATTCCATCAGCCGGGTTAGGTGGTGGAGCCGGCATCAGACCTCTGACTATCGGTGTGTGCCAGCTCACTCACGCACCCAGCGTGTCCGGCTAGAATGCCAAAACCAGGAGACAAGGACCTACAAAATCCAAGTGGTGACTTCCTGCAAGTGCAAAAGGTATTCCCGCCACCACAACCAGTCAGACAATAAGCAGTTTGGAAAGGGAGCCATCTCGAGGAGGAGAAAAAGCAAGAAGAAAACAATACCCCCTAAAAACAGAGGCAAAGGCAACCATCACGACCAAGCCGATCGATACTAGAACTTTGAATCCAATTTCATATGATGCCTCACTTTACAAAAAGTCAGTGCTGGATGAAAAGTCAATATGTTTCTTTCTAAAGCACTTACTCTATAGTGCATCAAATCCAGCATGTATTAATGATTCCTTTAAATCTGCAGGAGCATTGCACTCCCTACTCAGTCTAGGGTTAAGTATTTCCAAACTGAACAAAACATCCTGACCAAAGCATAGGATGACCATTTCAAAACATCAGATTGCTTCACTTTCTTTTTGAAAGCAGAGAACGTAAAAAAAAAGCTACAGTCTGTTACTTTGTCTAGTTGGATGTTTTACTCAATAGGGCAACGTATATACAGTATTTAATTTGGAATGAATGCTGGCATTGTTTACAAGCATAAACACAGTTATTCAGTTGAAGAAAAGCTCATTTAAGCTGGCAATAGTTCAACTCTAGATTAATCACCTGTGAAGCTAATGCAAGTGGCAAAACAAAATTTAATTCCATAAACACCTATTTTCCAATATGATAGAACAAGGACATGACAACATGATCCACAGTCTCAAAATCAAACTAGACAATTCTGTAAATACACAGCTGATCAAACAACGTCTGGACAGAGAGAAATAGAACTCAATGATGGTAACGGAAAACTTAACCCTGTTTCTGTGTCCAGAAGCTGATAGATCTGCTGAGTATTTCCATTATTTTCCATTTCTAACCTCAGTCTTTCTACCCTGTCCACTTTGGGCACTGATGTAAAGTTTGTAATTGCCCCCAGTCTTACTGTGGTGTAAACAGGGACTTTGAAGCAAGGATTGGCCAAAATATTGACCTCTAATGTCACAGAAAAAAAGCATCTCAACTAATTCAGGGCTGGAAATGCTGATTGGAGAACTTTGAAAATGCCCACAGCCCCTACCCATACATGACAGCAGTCCAGAAACCAAAGCAAAAACCTTCACAAACAGGAGAGGATGCATTCTGGCACAGAAGAGAGGAAGGTATACAAATAAATAATCTAGGAACAGTTTATAAATTCTCATCATAATGAGTTCGGTGTGTATTTCAGATATCTGGTACTTATAAATTTACACAGTAATTTCTGAAAAAAAAATGCAGGCTTCTGAAGCGAATTATTTTAGTTGTTTGGAGGTCACACAAATTGTTGACCCTTCCTCCTATGGGAAACATTCTTTACAACCTTTTCTTTGTGAAGACATTTCTGTTTTTAAACATAATTTACCCACCACTTTTAGAATATTTTCTTTTGCTTTAATGTTCGCTTTTTCCTATGTTGCCAATCTGAAACAATAAGTAGTAAGCAGCTGTACGTATCTAAAACATTACTCTGATCATTAATTTAATAACAGAATATGATATGCAATCCACACCAATGGCTATTTTGTGAAGTTGTGTTTATGAGCTCTTTGTATGAAGTTATATGTGTAATATTTCCACATTGTGGTGAAAATGGGACAAGAAACTGTTGTAGCCTCTTAAAGTGATTTCGAGTCAAGTGGCCAAAGTCCATAGACGCAAGTAATTGTTTAATACAAATGAATCATATTTATTTTTCTCATTTAAATTATTTATACTGCCATGTTTCATGTAGATGTGTGAGAACTATTCTTGCCATATACAGTATTGCATTATTGCAGACTAAATGTCATCAAAATAAAGTAGCAAAAATTCACAATGTTCTTGTCTTATTCTATGCCTCATTATTCATTCTAATTGCTTGAGTCAGATAAGTTATAGTTAGCTGGCAGAAGGATAAATCGAGTAATATGAAAAAACCTGCCCTGGGTATTGACTACAGAACACTCTAAGTGGCATCGTAAATGGTAAACTGGCACTGGGTCAATGAAAACCTGTGTTTATATAACACCTATCACAATCAGTCAAGAACTTTTGAAGTACAGTCACTGCACAGAAGCCAATTTGCAAAGCAAGGTCCCACGAATAACAATGATATCATTAACTTGAGAATTTGTTCTAATGATATTGCTTGAAGGATAAATATAGGACCTGACATCACCAGAGTTCCTCTTTTCTAATTTGTCTATTTGGTTAGATATAGTACATGGTTAGATATAACACAAATGTGTGTTGCTTGAGTTAGATTTTGAATTAGAGATGGTACCTCAATGCAGAAATTCTTCAAAGTATATTGATGTCTCTAGGAATGACGAATGGTGGCAGTTCATAGATTATTTGATGCTTTCACAAATATCAAATTACCTCTTGAAAACCTCCATAAATTGCTCAATTGCATACCTCAAGAGTCTCAATTACTGGATTTGTTGTGAATGGTGCATAAAGATCTATTCTCCAATGGAGAGGGGGAGCATTTATGGGCCTGATGGGCTTTTTTTCAAGAGATAACAAGATGTAGAGCTGGATGAACACAGCAGGCCAAGCAGCATCAGAGGAGCAGGAAGGCTGACGTTTCAGGCCTTGTTATCTCAGATTCTCCAGCATCTGCAGTTCCTACTATCTCTGAAACAAAGGGCTTTTTTTCAATATGTTCAAAACCCAGGTCATAATGAATGTTAAAACTTGATGTTGCAATGTGTTGTATTCCTGATCATTGCTACTGAGCTTGCTGCACTGAGTTATTACTACATTCTTAACAAAATCAGATGGATTTAACCTGTTCTTCCTTACTGCCTACCTATTAATACTGTACAGTATTGACATTATTCAACAAAATTATGATCAGAGTTTTCTCTATTAAGTATTTGAGAAATTTCTGTCAGTAATGTAGAAATATTGAAAAAAAGTATGTTTTAACAAGTGGCCACAGATAATGCAACGCAGAAGCATGCATTAGATAAAGTTGAAATAAAACATGCATAAATTACAAATAAAAAGGCTAGTATGAATCATAAATAATAAAACATTCTTTTACTATTGTTGTTTCTATTATTTTTTGACATCGCACATTAAAAAAAATCTAAGCAATTAACATTATCACAAAGTGGCTGAATGAATGTACTGTGGTAGATTTTACAAGTTCACACTGAAAAATAAGTCATCAACTCACCACTTTTGTAAAATGATCAGAGTTTAGATAGAATTAAAAGGGAGAAACTGTGTTTCCACTTACAGCAGGATTAAGGGCCAAAGGACATAGATTTAAGAAAATTGAGAAAAGAACAAGGGAGGAAATGCAGTCCATTACTGTGATGTAGAATGCTCTGCTTGACAGTTTGGTGGAAGCAGATTTATTGAAAACTTTAAAAAGGAATTGGATATATACTTTAAAAGGGATGAAGTTCTAAGCTATAAGAAAGAGAATGGTTCTAATTTGATAGCTCTTTCAGAAAGCCAGTGCAGGATATATGGGTCAAATGGCCCTCTGTGTTGCAGGATTCTGTGATCGTATCCTCCCCATTAATCTGTAACATTATAAGTAGTCAGACAATTATTTTCTTATGCAAGGTGAAATGCACATCTTTTGAAAGCTGCCAATACTTTCAGTTTCCAGAAACCAACACCATCAATTTTGAACTGGAGCAAAGAATTTGTGGAACAAAAAAAATTTATTTGTGTGAATTCCATTTATAACTGCATTTCTCATCATAGCTATATGGTCCAAGCCAGTTCTTTTGATGGTGGGTAGTACTAAAACCCCCAGGATTCTCTATTTATTTCATATTTCTGGTAATTACAGATTCGTTGATTTTTAACCATGCAATCTTTACAGCCAAATTGAAAAAACAAATATAAACCTTTTCATCATCTTCAAGAAAAATGTCTTCACATTTGCTTTCATCCTGTACCTAAAACTATGGACTGTCCACTATAAAACTATTGCTACAAATTGATAGACTGAACCAGCCTGAAAGAAGGAACGTTTAAACACAAACAAATTTCAATTTAAGGCTTTCACTTTCCATGTGATATTCTTAGCCTAATGAAGCTGAAGTCCCTGAGATTAGTTTTGCGTAACTTGAACCACTGAAATCCTGAGGCAATACATTTGCAAGTCAGGATGGTGAATGGATTGGAGAGTAACTTGCAGTCAGTGGTGTTCCCATGTATCTGCTGTCCTTGTACTTTTAGGTAGAGGCATAGAAGTTTACAGTGCAGAAAGAGTCCCTTTGGCTTATTGAGTCCACACTGAACATCATGCACCCCAATCTCCTTTTGTATGAGTTTTCAGTACCTTACCCATAGCTTTGTATTCTATGTTATTTCAAATGTTCATCTAAATATTTCTTAAATTTTGTGATCTTTCCCTCCTCCACCACCATTTCAGGCAACGAGGTCCAGACACCCACGACACTGTTGGGTGAAAAAAAATCTACCTTACATCCCCTCTAAACTCCCTATTACCCTAAATTTATGTCTACTTATTACTGATCCCTCTCCTAGGGGGGAAAGGTTCTTCCTATCTACCTTGTCTTTACCCCTTATCATGTGTAATTCTCAACCAGTCCCCTCTCAGCCTTCACTGCTATAAGGAAAACAACCCCAGCCTATTTAGTTTCTCTTCATAGCTGAAACACTCAACCCCAGGCAACACCCTGGTTAATCTCCTTTGCACACTCTCTAGAGCAATCATATTCTTCCTATAGTGTGATGATCAGAACTGCTTACAGTACCTGAGCTGTGACTTAACTAACGTCTCGTTAATTTGCATTCACTGACTGAAATAATAAAGGCAAGTACCCTTTATGCCTTCTTAACCACCTCATCCACTTGTCCTGTTGCCTTCAAGGATCTTTGGACGTGCACACCAAGGTCCCTTTGATCATCTATACTTCTAGAGTCAAGTACTTCCATGTATTGTGTACTTTTATACTTTGTTAGTTTTACCAAAGTGCATTACTTCACACTTTTCTGCATTAAATTCCATTTTCCACTGTTCAGCATGTATATATCATCCTGCAGTCTAAGGCTTTTCTCCTTGCTATTCACTACACCACCAATAGTGGTCATGGGTTGGAAGGTGCTAAGGAGCTTAACTAGTCTGTAGGATAGCTTTCTGAATGTTGGCACCAGCCTTCAGATTTCAGTAAGGAGGAACAAAAACAAAAATTGCTGGAAAAACTCAATGGGTCTGACTGCATCTCCAGCAGGTCCAGTGATTCTTCAACAGAACTGATGGTAGTTGGGAAATGGCTGGTATTTATGCAGAAGATGGGGTGAAAAAAGAGGGTGGAATAAACAGTAGGTGGGAATAAAGGCCAAAGAGAGAGAAAACAGTTGGACAGATAAAGGAATAGGTGACGGTCATCTAATGTGAACTATTAGTAAGTGACAATGGTTTGTTTGTAGTAGCAATCCATGTGTTGACAAGACCTGGTGTCTGGGGGTTAGGGTAAGGACATGGGAAAAGGTGCCTCAAGCCCTAAAACTGTTGAACTCAATATTGAATCCAGAAGGCTGCATAGTTCCCAATTGGAAAATGAGGTGCTGTTCTTCCAGCTTGTGCTGAACTTCAGTGGAGAACTGTAGAAAACTTGAGACAGAGTTGTTGGCCAGGGAACTCAGTGGTGTGTTGAATTAGCAGGCAAATGGAAGCTCAGGGTCTTTTCTGCAGTCAGAACTTAGGTATTCTGCAAAGCGCTCACCCAGTCTGCACTTTGTTCCCACAATGTCGAGGAGACCACTTAGTGAGCAGCGAATACAGTGGTCTAGATTGAGTGACGTGAAGGTAAAGCATCACTTCACTTGGAAGGTGTTTTTGGGGCCTTGGATGGTGAGGTGGGAGGAAGTAAACAGGCAGGTGTTACACTTTCTTTGATTATAGGTGAAGGTGCCATGGAGCTGTGGGGATGCTTGGGAGGGAAGGCGGAGTGGACCAGGGTATCCCAGAGGGATTGGTTCCTGTCGAAGCTGACAAGGGAGTGGAGGAGAACATGTGGCTGGTGGTGGCATCCTGTTGGAGGTGGTGGAAATGGCGGCTACAACGAGGGTCAAAGCGCGGGAGTTGGGTCGGACCCGGTTGAGGGCCCAGTCAACCGCAGTGCTGGGGAATCTTCGGTTGAAGAAGAAGGTGGACATTTCGGATTTTTGTTTCTGATTTCCAGCATCAACAGTTCTTTCAGTTTTTTTCTGTTTCATAAGGAGGACTTTGTAGAGTCAACAGGGCTGAGTTTGCTATTATTGTTTCTGGTACCTATGTCAATACCACACTGCCCATTGGATTTCATTCTCTTGGGGCTTTTTAGCAATTTGATGCAACTGAGTGGCTTGCTAGGCAAAATCAAAGGACTGTTAAGAGTCAACAACATTTCTGTGGATCTGGAGTCATATATAATCAGACCAGTTAAGGGCAGCAGATTTCCTTCCCTAAAGGATATTACTGAACTAGATGGGTTTTTATGACAATCAACATTCACTTCACAGCCATCATTCAAATTTCACCGTCTGTTGTGGTGGGATACAAACCCGGGTACCCAGGGAATTAACTGAGTCTCTGGATTACTAACCCAGCAACAATACCACTACATCACCATCTTTCCATAAATTGTTTAAAAGCTAAAAAAGAATGTCTCAATTAGACATGTACTATATTTCATTGATATGAATCAGTACCAATTGCTCCCAAGGCATTATTAACTTGATATTTCATTTTAAGTTCATTGGTGACTTGATGGTTGCCCTGAAAATATCTTTTTATGTGATCCCCAATATTGAAAACACATGCCTGGATGGGAACAGGGCCTTAACCCTGTTTTTCCATA